AGAGGACCCATCAGTGGCTGATATTAACTCCCTATGGTCTCTCCTTTTTGTAGAGTATAAGCTAGAGGATTGCTATGTTGTTGGCAGCTCATATGCCACTCGGTGCATTTGTGGATGCAATATGTTCTTATCATACTGTAGTTAAAAGGCTTTTCATCTCTTGCCAATGCTTTTATGTGCTGCAAAGGCTGAGGGAAGCAGGTGAGGTGCTGTAGGCATAATGGTCACTTTAAAAAGCACTCTTACCAGCCTGCAGCCATGGGAAGTGCAGAGAGAGCAGCAGAGAATGAAAAAGGAGATGAAAGGAGGGGCTGAGTGAAAACCTGGTGGCCACCAAGCTGCTCTGGTGCTGGCAGTCACCAGTGGCAAGCAGCATGGACACAACTGTCTACTCTGTCCTCTGCTGCAGGGTGTTGCACCCACAGTGCCTGGGAAACCTCAGCCTCCCCAGCTTGCCCTCTGGCCCCTGAGCTTCAGCCACAGCTCAAAGAGGGCTTGGGAGAAAGTACAGGACTGTGAACAGGCTCAAAATAGGGTTGAGTGAAGGTATGAGACCATGAACATCTGTTTTTCAGGCATCTCTTGTACCTGTGCTACGTTTTTTTGCTCAGCCCATCTTCACTCACAGTGGAGATGCTGGGGAACACTGGCAGCATTTTCTTGCAAGGAAGAAAGGATGTGAAAAAATGAATGTCTTTCTTCACTCAACTTACTCTGCAAGCCGGGGGCGGGGGGGAGTCCATTGAAGGCCTTAGCACAAAGATTAATGTTTGGCCTGTGGCATTAAGCAGAATTTGTTCATTTAAGACAGGACAGTGGCTTGGAAGAATAGGAGGTTGTGGCCTCTCCCATGCAGCAGCAGTTCTTCTGACAGAAGGGGATAAATAAAAGTGTCACTGCCATAGAGAGTATCTGAAAGCTTTGCACTGAACAATGTGAAAAATGTTTCCTGTGACCCAAAGAACCTTTACATCAAGAGACCTCCTGGGCACATGTGGGGAATAAGGTCTCGTTTTAAGTGCTGCCATCAGTGGGTTGTATGGGGATAGCAGTAACTCCGAAAGCATGCTTCATTTACTGCAGATGTCTGATTTTTCCCTCAATATCGCACCAAAGTACCTAATTTAATGACAGACACGGTCTTGGAAATTGAGGAACTTTCAGCTTTTGTGTTTATTTAGCCACTTACCAGAACACCAGCTGGAAATGGTAGATTTCAGATCATTCTTATTTCTGTCTCAATAAGCAGGGTTATTTCAGAAAGCCAGGTGCTCTGCTGGGTGCTACTATAATAACTGCTCACAGTCCAGTCTTTGCTGTATTACAGCTGAAATGTGTCACTGTGGCTCTTGCTTCTTCCAGAAATTAGAACCAAAGTTTTCAGGAATTAATTCCTAGGACAGCAAACTGGCCTGCTGCAGGCTTCATGCACATTGCAGGCTTTGGAGGAAAAGTGGTCAGACAGCTGTACTGGGGATGGGTGTGCTAGTAATGTCAAAGAAGTCCACTTATTCAATCATGTCCTGATATGAAACTAAGAAGTGATCCCTGATAAACACAACAAAGCCTAAATTAAAATAAAGTACTGATAACCCATGAGATTATCATAAAAATTGTAAGTTTGGACCAGAAAACCAAGGAGCTGCCTTAAAAATCAAAGGAGGTTGAGAAATACAATCCTTTCTGTTTCTTTCTGGTTTTGCCCACAGAGCTTTCAGCTTTTCACTCAAATGAAAATGAAGACTAAATGAAATGAAGACTACTCTAACACTGCCTGTCTTTGGGGACTGAAGCTGTTCAGGAAGTGTTCACAGCATTGCAGGAGAGCTCTAATAGATTTGCTAGAATTGGCAACTCCACTTTGATGTCAATCACTCTGCCACTGAGGGAAGGTGTTACAGGTGAGGACAGCGCGGTGCTTCCCACCTGCAAACACCCTTTTGGTGTTTGGAGCAGTTTGGTGAAGAGCTGAGCAGCCTGAAGGCTGTTTCCAATGTTGAGAACGTGAGGCATCGTCACATCCTCTGCTGCTATGTCCAAAGTCTTCCCAAGTGATGCATTTGCAGCCAAAGAAATCTTGAATCGAAGCCTGCCGATTTTCTGGCTCTGCATGTGCTATAGTGCTCTCCAACACCCCTCCTCCCTCCCCTAAAATCGTATTTCCCGTAATTTCAAGTGTGGTTTCCTGCTGGGTGAGGATTATGTGAGGACTCTGTGCCAAAATCCTCTTTGCAACCTTTGAAACCACTGTGGATTTGGATGTCCTTTGTGGGGAGGGGTAGAGGCCTCAGAGAGACAAACACAGAACACCAAAGTGTTTCTGATGGGACAGCAACGAAAAATGGCATTTTCTGTGCCAGGGAGAGCTAATGCACATCCTGGGAACAGGCAGGAGAGATGACCCTGGCCAGGAGGATTCATGCATTTCCCTGCGTGTTGCTCTGATCTGCTGTTCCAGGAGCGGCCCATGGACGCCTGGGCAGGATGGTGTCAGCAGGACCCTGCACGGGGTGTTTGCGCTGCAGATGTGAATTGAGGGGAAAAAAACACCAAAAAAACCCAAGCAGCTTCAAAAATGCTTTTCCCCCTCAAAATGCCTTTCATTCCAGTGGACTTAGGTTTGCTTTCCAGCCGCAGGTGAAAGAGCCATGGTTGACACGCGATCGCCCATCAGCACCTCAGGGCCCCCTGGGCCGCAGCCCCACCCGGAGGGAGTGCAGCGGGAAGCGCCTCTTCCCCCCCTTTTCTAGGGCGGCACGGGCTGCGAGCGCACAGCGAATCGCCATTAGGTAATAACTAATTAGCGCTTCGTGATTACCGATGGGTGCTTTCGCCCTCACAGCGGTGACGCCTCAGTGCGAGGCCCCGCTGCGGGGAAGGCCGGGCTGCCAGCAGCCGCCT